AGAGAGAGAGAGAGAGAGAGAGAGAGAGAGAGAGAGAGAGATGTAGCGAAAGAACGTCATCCCTACAGACTACGCGGAGGACAGCTGCTTCCTTATTACCAACAAGCAGCTTTTCTTTCCTTCTTTTTTATGGGCGGCGGGCGGCAGTGTGTGCTGTTGTTGCTGCTGCTGTGCTGCTGCGGCGGCGGCGGCAACTTCTATGTAGCGACTGCAGTTCTTGTTGTAGCTTTTATCTTCACGTCGATCGACAAAAAGCCATTCTGGGTTTAGTCTTTTCTGTGTGTGTATTCCTAACAATTACACATATAGTCTAATATGCGTACGGCAGTGTAGTCTAGACTACTAGTAGAGGGCTGCAGCAGCACCTGTGACCCCCCCTTCCAGTTCAAAAAGCGACCATGGTCACGTCACGAACGAGCCCTTCAAGAAAAAGTAGTAGCCAGAATGACAACAACGCTGCAACGCAAGGGGTCTCGGATCCTACAAAAATGTAATCTGCACATAGTTGTAGTACACGCCTTCGCACCGCTTGCGATGATTAAAGAGTCCTTACATACTTACAAACATGTACGGAGCAGGCAGAGCAACGCTCCCTCCAGGGAAGTACGAGGTCGTTGCAGCCCGCCAGGAACATGAAATCGCTCTCCTGGTGATGATGACGAGTACAAATAACATGTGCGAAGCACCAGCCAAAAGTACCGACTTGAATGCAATAATAAGAGGAAGCCCCCCCCCCCCCTACTTTTGAATGAACCCTTAAACTTGCCCGGGCGGCGTTTCTTGCTTTCTCCTATGGGGTTATATCCACAACTGCAGTGACTGCTGTATAGGTTTTCATGACCAATGCTTGACGATGCTCCTCGCGGTGTTTGGGAAACGGCGCGAGACTTTCCACATGCCTCTTCCTCCACGTTTTTTTTCCGTGCCGATGTGTTATTCTTGCTGCCACTCGAAACACAACAAATCCCAAGGATACTCTTAAGATTTTATCTCTCCTGGATTCGAAAAACAGGTGATGGTCCCTACGTCTTGTTCCGAACCGAGTAATGTTCTCGTTGCGCTGGTGAAAATAAACGCTCAAGAACACCGTCAACACTTACCACGTACGTGGGGTGTCACAGTAAAAAAAAAAGAGATAGATATTGTCGGGGCTCTCCGCAGCATGGACTTGTCGTTGGGATTCAGGGCCGTTCAACGAGCAGCTTGCGCGCCACACGACGGAGTCATCGATACGGGGTCAGGGTCAGCCTCACCATTCCCTTGACCTTCTTCCCTCGTCTTCCTTTCGGATACCCGACCTCAAACCAACCGTCGAGGCAGGGAGAACGGCGCCGTGGAGGTGACCTGGATGTAATTCCATCGACGACCCGGACGTCAGTTGCTCCACGCACCAGAGGATCGGCCTCATCCTTCGCCCGTTTCTTTCTTGGGCTAAGACCAGGAACGCTAGCTCCAAACACGGACGGCGATCCCCTCCCACGTTCGCTCGTCGACGTTTGATCGGCAGAAAAATCCACGGTGGCCATGCCCGTGGTGCCAGTGCTTCCGCCGAGCGTATGTGGTGCCGTTCCCGGACGCTCGACGTTCGTGGCCGTTATTCCTTTATCCCCCGTGTGCATCGTGTCCTCGACCGGTATCGTTAGTCGACCCCACAGAACCGGCTTCGCGCGTGGCGTGGATGTATTGCGGCCGGTCGATTGTCCTTGGGTTTCCCCGTCATCCTTCGGCAGTTGGTCAGGTGACCGAAGCTCGTAAGACTTTGCGAGTTGTTGCTGCGTGCTCGTCTTGTTCGTCTTCCTGCCCTTGAATGACATCGTAAGTACGCCCCCTCTTACACTTTTCGGAGGCGAAGTCTCTATCGCCGCCGAAATCCCGCTCGGGAAGGAAGCTTGGGTCGCGACTGACACATCCTCGTCCTCGCCGTCATAGTCTTTTTCAGAACCACTTTCTTCCTGAAGGTTCAATGCACTCGAAATATGGTTGGTGTCGTTTATGGCGCATTGGTGGCTCATACCGGAGACATCTCTCTCCTGCTCCCCGCCCGCGTTAACCGGGGTCTGCGGAGGGTCCTTGCTGCCATCCAGCCCCCCTGTGTCAACAGTTGCTTCTGTTTCGGACGGCGTCAGTGGCGACTCTGACGACGTCCACGACGACTGGCCCTTGTTTTTGTTTTTCCTGCCCTTGAAAGGCGACGATAGCAGGGTCGGATTCCTTCGTCGCGTGTTTTTGGTCGTAGCCGCACTCGCCACGGAAGCTTCGTCGTCCGCTCCTGAAACCCCACCATCTGCAACCGACACGTGATCGTCGTCTACACACCCCCACCGAAGGGTCTTCAAATCCGTACCAAGCTTCGCATCGTTGCTATCATTTATTCCTCCCCGCTCTGTCCCAGAGTCCCATAGATTGTCGGCACTCGTTGCGGATAGACCACCCAGTGATTTATCCCCGGACTCAACAAGCTGTCGCTTGTCTTGCGGGCATTGAATGGGCTGGTCTGTATCCTCGGCGACCGCGTCGAGAGGTAAGGATCTGTTGCTGTTGGTTTCCGTGCGGTCATGGCCGCGGGTGGATTGAACACTCCGTTGGCGGCCGCTGCTGCTCTCCACTGGCGCACCGATCGTCGGGTCTTGCGCCGTGTAGGGGCGAAGAGCCGCGGGGGTACTTGCCTCCCACACCTCAAGCACTAGCACGTCCAGGGGAATTGGCTCTTCCAACGCGGCAGGTCCTCCTGCTTGTTCTCTGCTGCGTCCGTCGACTGCTTCGCCATTATTTCCGATGGTATCACGATGCTTCCTTGTGGGCCCACTGCTGCCCTTGCTCCTCAGACTCCAGAGGGACCTCCTCGCCCTCTCCGGTAAGCTTCCTGGGGCGACGCTGTCTGCCTCTCCCTGAATGTCACGGGCCTTCTGGTGACTTTCCTGGGGGTCACTTGTACCCACGACGGTGGATTCTTCGCGGTCATAGGCGCTACGTTGGGCGATAGCGTCCAATGCAATATTCTTTTTTCGCTCTCCCCTTGGGCTCCAGAAACGGGCTCCTACTTTTCTTGTCGCCCCGGGGTCGGTACATTCTGCCACTGCCACCACAGCGGCATCTGCCGGCTTGACTGAAAATTCCGAATAGCTTTCGTTGGGGGGACCAGCATCCTTAGATGACTCACCTCGGGCATTCTCCTCGCCGAGTGATGTCGGCCAGACTCGATCGGGACGGACATGTTTGTCGATCACGGCAGAGCTCTCGATTCCTGACTCGCTGTGATCGGAGTCACTACGGGATTCATCTTCACTCGATAAGTTGTCCAGAACGTCGTCCGCGTTGCCGGCCGTGGTCGAGGCGATCTCCTCACTGCCGCAGTTGCTGGTGTCGACGTCGCCGTTTGGTGTCGCAGTGATGGTCGCAGTTTGCTTTCGCCTACCTCTTGTGGGGCTCCAGAACGACAGCTTCCTTCTGTTCAACATCCCGCCAGCAGGATTTGTGGCGACGACGTCATCTCCCGCTGCTGTACTGCCGTCGTTGGTCCCGGGTGGCGTGTCCGGGCAGCTGTCCTCGGAGTTGACGGAGTCACTGGTAGACTCGCCACTCCCCTCTCCCGTATCTTCCTTGTGTCCGCTCTCTGTCCAGTCTTTCCTGGGCGGGATCTTTGTATCGACTCCGCCTGGAACACTAGAGTCCGTGTTGGGATCACCAGAGGATTTTTCGTTGCCCGGAATGCCGTCTGCGGCCGCCACAGTGACACGGAGTGTCGTTGCGTCTGCAGTGGTACAATCGTTACTTCCGACGACCTTCTTTCCCGCGAACGACACATTTTTCTTCCCTCTACCTCTGGTGGGGCTCCAGAAAGACACCCTGCGCTTAATTTTTGCCCCACCAGAAAAAATTCGGGGGCGTTTTGCTAGGACCGACGGTTTACTCGTTGTCTTGCCCTTCACGTTGGCCGGAGTGTCCAGGCGGTCGTCATTAGAGTTGATGGAGTCACCAGTTGACCCACCGCCCGCCTCTTCCTCATCTTTCTGTTCTCCGTTCCATGTCCAGTTGATAGCTTGCGGGATCGTCGTTTTGACTGCACCTGGAACATGTCTCTCGACACTTCGGTCGGTGTTGGGCTTGAAAAAGGATTCGCCGCCGCCCGGAATGTTGCCTGCGGCCGCCACCGTGACGCGGGGCGTCGTGACGTCTGCGGCGGTATCATCGTTGCTGCCGACGGCGCTTCTTGGTGTCGCGGTGACGGTGGTGGTAGAGGTAGACTTTCTCCTGCCTCTTCTGGGGCTCCAGAACGACAGTCTCCGCATACGAAACATTCCACCAGGAGATTCGGTGGCGTCGACTTCTTCTTCGCCGGCGGCGCTGCCGTTGTTGATCCCCGCTGGGGTGTTGGGGCAGCTGTCCTCGGAGTTGACGGAGTCACCAGTAGACCCACCACCCGCCTTTTCCTTGTCTTCCTTGCTTCCGTTCTTTGCCCAGCTTTGATCTTGCGGGGTCGATGTACCGACTACGCCCGGAGCATCCGACTCGACACTAATGTCGGTGTTGGGATGACCAGAGGGTTCGATATGACCCTGGGTGTCATCCGCGGCCGCCACCGTGACACGGGGAGTCGTTGCCTCTGCTGCGGTACCATCGCTGCTGCCAACTTCGCTCCTTGGTGTCGCGGTGGTGGTCGAGGTTTGCTTTCTCGCTGTCGCGGTGGCGGTGGTGATCGAGGTTTGCTTTCTCGTGCCTCTTCTGGGGCTCCAGAACGACAGCCCCCGCATACGAATTTTTCCACCAGGAGATTCGTCGGCGTCGACCTCCTCTTTGCCGGCGGCGCTGCCGCCGTCGATCCCGGGAGGGGTGCTCAGGCAGCTGTCCTTGGAGTTGACGGAGTCACCGGTAGACCCGCCACCCGCCTCTTTCATGTCTTCCTTGTCCTCGTTCTTTGGCCAGCTTTGATCTTGCGGGGTCGATTTATCGGCTATGCCCGGAGCATCCGTCTCGACATTGCTGTCGGTGTTGGGATTACCAGAAGATTCGACGTTGCCAGCGATGTCATCCACGGCCACCACCGTGACACGGGGCGTGGTGGCGACTGCGGCGGTACCATCCCTGCTGCCAACGTCGCTTCTTGGTGTCACGGTGGCGGTGGTGGCCAAGGTTTGCTTTCTCTTGCCTCTTCTGGGGCTCCAGAACGGCAACCCCCGTTTGTTAAACTTGTCGCCGGCAGATTCACTGGCGTCTCCCACCTCATCGATTGCTGTACTGCCGTCGTTGATCCCCGCTGTGGTGTTCGGGCAGCTTCCATCGGAGTTGAGGGAGTCACCAGTAGATTCGCTACCCGCCTCTTCCGACGTATCGACTACGCTCGGGGCATCCCTCTCAATAATATCGCTGTTGGGACCACCAGAGGATTCGACGTTGCCCGGAATGCTGTCTGCGGCCGCCACTGTGGCACGGGGCGTCGCGGCGTCTGCGGTGCTGCCACCGCTGCCTTCGATGGCGCCGCTTCGCGCGATGGATGCGTTTTTCTTTCCTCTACCTCTGGTGGGGCTCCAGAAAGACACCCCGCGCTTCGTTTTCGCCCCACCAGAACCCCTTTGGGGAAGCTTCGCTAGGACGGACGCCTTACTCGCTATCGTGCCCTCCACCTTTACCGGTGTGTCTCGGGAGCTACTGTCGGACTTTGTCAAGTCGTGAGCAAACTCGACACGCGCTTTCTCCTGCTTGTGGTCGCTTTCTGCCGTAGCGATGACGCTCGAGGGATCTATTTCCGAAGAACTGGCATCAGATACGGTGGAACACGTGTCATCGTCATCCTGCAAGCCGCGCTCCGCGTTAGCTCTCGAATAAACGTCGTTCAGAGCCGAAGCCTCTTCTCTTTGAAAACCCGTCCGTTTGGTATCTGGTGGTTCCGTGTCGCGGAATCTTTGGCCCTCCTCTGCCTTGCTGGCCGCAGCGGCCAACGGGTCGTCCACCACGCTGTTCTCTACATGTCCCTCGCCACCAGGCCCACTTTCCTCTTCCGGGCACACCACCGTACTCTCGCCACCCTCATCTCCTGCTACCACCAGCGAAGGACCGAGCGGCACCCCTGCCGATGTTCTTGGTGATGGTCCTGGTAGCGCTAACACTTCACTCCATCGCCAGACCCAGATAACTTTGCCGTCCTCTGCGTCATTCACTATTTCGGTACCGCCTTCGCCGTCACCGCCCGAGGGAAGCAAACGGGAGGCCACGGCAGCGCTCTCGACCACGTGCCGCCCACGGGTGACTCGAACGAACAGTGACACAGAGGAAAAGTCCTTCGATACCTGCAAGATACAGAGAGAAGGGGGTA